CCCCAAAACCCCAAAACCCCAAAACCCCAAAACCCCATTTAATATATGTGTAGTTGAGAAACATTAAAATATTTATCGATGGCTATTTCATTATAATTTAGAAGCATTAGCCTCCACTTTGCTCAAGAAGAGTTTTCATTCTTTGGTTTTTGAGCTCAAGGATCTTTTTGTAGTCCTCATCGCTTAGAACGCTTCTCCGATTCATACTATTTGCCATATTTTCAGATGATTGTCTAGCAAATCCCGTTAGAGAAGTGGACACAATAGAGTTTTTGTATATTTCAGCATTTTCGGCTGAAGGGTTGTAAGATTCTGCTTTCTCTATGGGTATTGGAAGCTTATTCAGTGGCTTAGGTCATTGCTTAAGTTCTAAAAATGCATACAAAAGCCCTCCATCCTTTTCCTTATCATAAGCTTTCAGACGAGGCTCTAGCTTAACCAGCTCATCAAGAGGATCTTCAGACTCATCAGTAGTCTCATAAGGGTTATGATTTTTAGGCTTTGGTTTAGGCTTTTTCTTTCTCTTTGTTTTGTTTGCAGAAGGAACAGATGGCTTTCTCTCCCTCTTGAGTCCTTCTGGAGCGCTCAATATCCCTTTATCAAGACTTCCTCTTAGAGTTCCTGAAGTCTTTGATTTAACTATTCTTGGACTTTTACTATTTCTTTTAGAGCGTTTATTCTCGCTATCTGAGTTGATTCCTCCTCTTATTGATTGTGCAGAAGAAGAGGAGAGTTTTACAGGAGATGAGAATTTATTCAAGTATGATTTCTCTCCTCTTTGCTCCTTTTTGTTATATAAGTGAACACTTTTATTTCATTGTGCTTGAATTCTTTTTAAACTTAGGCTTTATTTGACTTGATTTTATTGGGGAAACGTAATCATTCACCATATTGTTATGACTTCCAGTTGATTGATTGTCTGATGAAAGATATCCTCGCTTAACATAAGCTTTACCAGGAGATTTAGGATTCTTCTTAACGGGAGACTTCTTCACTTTTGGTTGATCAGGAGTAAGTTCTTTAGAAAAAGGAATATATTTAGCATCATTATAATATCCAGTGCTTTCGTCACAGCTCTCTTTCGGGAATGGGCCTTCTGTCTCATTAAAATTACTAGTCTCTTCATTTTTAATCATGCTTATATCAGCTTTCACAGTAGTCTGGGTGATATCAAGTTGCTCTTTCTTCATTTTCTGCAACATAAGAACAACTAATGCCAATAAGTTTGCAAATATGCGGCATTCTCTTTGAAAAGATGAAGAAATCGTAGTGAGGGAGATTCTTGCTTTCCCAAAACATTGAGTTTTATATTTCATTAGATCTCCTCTCTCAGCTGATATCAGTTCTAGCTTCTCAGGAATATTATGAATTCATTGTAACAGTTTCTTATCCTTTTTAATAAGAATTTTGAGAATTCCGTTCCAGTCTGTTGGCTTTTTAACCTTTTCACCCATTGACTGCATTATTTTAATTACTGCAAACATTACTCTAATTGTTGGCAAGGTTGGGTTAACTTTTGCCAGGTCGTAAATATGCTTAGCAGTAAACTTCTTTCAGCAATTATTTCAATTGAATCAAAGTGCTCAATGCAGTATTGGATGAGAAAGTCGACCCATGATTGTTAGAATAAGCTGAAATGTCAAGTTTTGATACCTGGGCTTTGTGCAATCCATTTTGATTTCATGTCTCGGAAGTAGTAACGTCAGTTAGTAATTTCATACTTTCTGTCCCTGAATGAATGCTGAAAACACTTGAGGGCTTCTTTTTGAAAGCACTTCTGTTTGAGTATTTTGACACTTTCTTTATCCCATTACTTTGTACAGACTTCTTCCTATCACCTCTGTTTCTTCTTACAAGCATACTACTTTTAGCTCTGGTTGGAGCTTCTTCATCTGTTGATTCAATATTTATTTTAGATTTGGGAGCAAGTTTTTTATTCTGAAGCTTAATGAAACTTGCTCTGTTGCTTGCACCTTCCTGAGATCGAGTGAATGACTTTGAGAGCTCTCTTTTCCTTTCAAAAGTTTTCAGTTTATCATGAGGAGACCTCTCATTATCACTCTCAGCATATTTATTTATAAAACTTAGGAGCTATGGTTCCGCCAACTCTAGACATGGAGTCTCTACTTTGAGATCACTTTTCAATCTGCTTCTGGATTCCTTCAATGTTCTTCTGAACCATCTGCTGGATCAGAAGAAGATCTTCTTGCTTTCTTCTCAGTTCCTCCAGATCAAAACCATCTTTTAGGATCGAACTATTTTCCAAATTAATGGCTAATGTTGATAAAGGATCTGTCTCTTTCCTCTTACTAGCGACGGTAGCAGGAGTATTAGCTATTCTAGACATATTGTTACTAGGAATGCAAGGCTGATCTTCGTCTGACTCTGAAAGCAACCGTTCAGGAGTCAGGTCTGATTTAAGGTCCTGATTTTCCATTTTTTAATTATATTTCAAAACTTTTCAATACCAACTGGGAATTCCGGGGTTTTGGGGTTTTGGGGTTTTGGGGTTTTGGGGTTTTGGGG